GGGGGGGTCCCTGCGCATTCAGCTCCTCACCCGGCTGAGCTGCTGCTGGGCCGGGACGCGTTACAACCGCCGCGGCCTCGAGCCCGGCGAGAGCGGGGTCTGCGCGATCTTCGCCATCTCCTCCGTGTGGCTTTCGGCACCGCTGGGGGGGGAGCCGCGGACGGCGGTCGTAAGTGTCGTCCGCGGCTCCGTCCCGCGGCGGTGGGAGCAGCCGGCGAATTTGTCCCTGAAGCCGCCGCTCAAAATTTCCCTCGCGGGCGGGGCGGTCGAGGAGCTCGACGCGCATCTCTTTTTCTTGTATGGTGTCCTCAGTGGGGTCAGGCGTGTGTGTTTGCTCGATACGATCTCCTCCGGCCCGCACGAAAAGCCCCTCTCGGACGCCTATCAACTCGCCTTTGAGCGCTGGCGAGGGGAGGCCGGGGGGAATCACCCCGGGGAGCGCCTTCCCGCTGTGGTTTACACCAAATTCGATGTCAAACTACGGCTCCTAACGCGAACACTGGGAGAGATGCGCGATGACCTCGTGCGGGCCGTCGAGCGGGTGATGGGGTCGTCAACAAAATCTGAGGGGGAGGGGGATTGGGTTAGTTTTACCACTTTTGCCCCGGCCCCGACGCGGAATCCGACAGACGAGAGGGAAAGGAAGGCTTGGGAGCTGCGGCCGCAATCGCTTTATTATCGAATAAACTGCTTGGATTGCCTCGACCGTACAAACATCGCGCAGGCGCTGCTGGTCGATGCCATGCTGCCCTATTTATTGTCCAGCCTCCTCAACGAAGGCGAAAACAACAACAACAAGGAGGAAAAAGGTCAAACGCCGCCGTTTAGCGATTCACCTTTCGAGCGTCGCCTGCGGGAGGAGGCCTCCGAGGGTATTCGCGCGCTCTTCGCCGAGCAGGGGGTGGCTATTTCAATAATGTACTCGAACGTTGGCGCTCATTTTATTCCTTATTTGCTGGGCGGCCACAACGGCCGTTATAGACCGAGCCTTAAGGAAGGGATGATCTCCCTCCGGCGATGGTTTTCCCAGAACTTCCGCGATGGGTGGAAGCAAGACGAGATTTCCCTCATCACCCGCCAACATGATCCAGGGCAGTTTAGCTGTAATATCGAGAGTCCTTTTTCTCGGGATTTGACGGGGATGAACTTATGGGTCCTTTACGGGATTTTTGCGTCGTTGGTGCCTTTGTTATGTTGTATTTTCTTTGCCTTTTTTTCCGTCGATCAAGGAGAGGTGCGGCTTCACGGGGCAATTGCAGTTCTGTGGATCGCATACTTCTTCTTTATTTATCAAAAATTATCGAAATATTGCGTAACCTATACGAATCAAGCCTTGCTAAATCACTCTATTTGAGGATTATTTTTATTTTTATCTTTCATTGAGGGAGGGAGGAGGGGAGGTAATGCTGATCAGAAGGATCTATATATAGTTTTCGTTTGTATTGCATGGACCGAATTTATACAAGGACTCAAAACTATATATCAGAAAATAGTTAATTTTGTGGCCTTTGGGGGCATGTACCTGCGCTTAATTTTGTTAGATAGCCGCTCAGGTTGAAAAATTTGCTTTCCTTTTATTATTCAATTTTCATATTAAACTTATAACTACGGGATAATATGACATCCTAGTTGAGCTGATGCCACGAAAAGACGTTTCTTGTCTCTAAATTGGTATCCTCACTTTTCTTTATTCTTCCATCACTTAACACAAAAGTAGCAGAAATTTTATTATTTTTTGGGGAGGGAGGAATTATTCACTTTAAAAGAAATCTTGATACACCTTTATCTCTTTTTAGATTACGCACTAATTGAGCCTCAATTACGTGTTCAAATCTCATTTTTTATATTATTTGCTTCTTTAAATGGATATATGGAATTGTACAAATTCGTTTGTCTTGTAAAGAAGCATTCTCATCCGCCAAAGTGATAATTGGAGTAGAGAAGAAAGGGAAGCTATATTCTCTTGAAATACATGGCGTTTATCCTATTTCTTACAGCGAGGAAGTTGCCTCGCGATCTGACCGGCGAACGTAAGAAATGCTTTGTTGTGCGGTAAATTTTGATTCCCCTTCATTTAGGGAATGAAAAGCCCAAGTTTATCAGAGTACTGCTTTTAAGATAACATAAAGTATATTATTTTACCGAAAAATTTCACAATACGGCTGAATGGCGTAGTTGATAACCGCATGCTCCTTTATGATTTTTTTACCATATTTTTCCACGGCTTTAACATCAAAAATTGGGCAATGAAAGCTTCTTCTAGCGCATCCTTAATCGGTATTTTTACAACGAATCCTTTGACCTTTTTTGACAAATTAAAAGCAATCATGCGATAAAATCCCATGCTATATAGGCTAGGGAGTCAATCTGCTCCTTCAAAAAAATATATCAAAAGTTAGCTGTTTTAGAATCATAAATAAAGTGAAAAAATCATTTGCACCCTTTTGAGACTAATATATATTTATATACACGGCTCATGATCACTTTTCCCATCCAACCTTATTATTTCCCGCAGTTCCATTTGACCTCTATTTTATTTATTTTTGCTATCCACTTCAAGAAATTAAATAAAACGAACGAAACCAAACTATACCACTCCTTAATTGAAGTGTGGATTGGCGTATATTCCCTCACACCGTACGGGTGAAGCGGGTTGGGGTATAGTCTTTGAGAGGGAGGGGGATAGTACCCAAAGGAGGTGTGTGGCGCAGTATTGGACAAGGTCTCTCCTTCTCTTTTTCTTTACTTCTACACCCCCCCCCACAAAAAAAAAAAAGATAACAGATATTATATTACACACACATAATGAAGCTAACCCGGCGGTTTCTTTCCACGGACACGGTCTTTGGCATTTCCACGGCGGAGATCGCCAAATTCCGCTCTTTGCGGGATCACTGGTGGGACCCCGACGGCCCCCTCCGCTCCCTCCACCTCTTCAACCTCACCCGAATTTCCTACATCGCAGAGGCCGTCCGGCAGTTCAAGCGCGATTCCCAGGCTACCTCAACCACCAATAGTGAACCGCATACCAGCAATACGAATGGAAAGACTAGTGGTTGGAATTGGAAGGGGGGGGATGAGAAAATGATTTTATTGCGGAGGGAAAATCGGGTGCTGGACGTGGGGTGCGGGGGAGGGATTTTGTCCGAGGGCCTCGCGCGGGTGGGGGCGACGGTGCTCGGCATCGACGCCTGCGCGGAGAGCCTCGAGGTGGCGAACGCGCACCTCGAGGAGTGGCAGCGAGAGGAGGAGGATAAAGGGGAAGACGAAAAAAACGAAGAAGGCGAAGGGCATTGGACGAAGCGGCTTTCCTACAAATCCGTCTCGCTCTTCGACTTAGCTCAGGAGCATCGTGGCGGCTATGATGTCGTCATCGCTAGCGAAGTGATCGAGCACGTCGAGGACGCGCGGCGTTTTCTCCAGGCGCTTTGTGAGGTGACCGCTCCGGGCGGGCTGTTGATTTTGACAACGATCGACAAAAGTTTGCGCGCGGCCTTCGGCCAACTACTCCTCGCGGAGCACCTCACAGGGATTGTCAATCCGGGAACGCACGACTGGCGGAAGTTCGTGCCGCCGGCGGATCTCACCGCGTATGCGGCACGTTTTGGCATGCAGAATGTCGATTTGCGGTATATTTTTACCTACCCAGATCTCTTTCCCTCACTCGCCTCTGGGAAACTACAGGTGAACTTCAAACTCACCAGGTCATTTGATACAGGGCATTACTTCTGGACGGGGCTGAAGAACGAGAACTTTGCAGAAGAACAGCAACCCTCCTCCGAGTATCCGAATGAGGGCGAAAAGGAAACAAATTAAAAGAAGAGTAGGACAGGGGAAAAACCTTTTCCCTTGAAAATAGTTATCGTTAATTGTTTTCCATGAACCATTTGCATTATTTGGAAATTATTATTTTGGCTGTGGTGTGATAATTGGGAACCCTGAAAAGCGAACGAAAGATTTTCAAAACATGGAAAGGCTATACTTCCATGTATATTCCAAATACCACTAACCACCGAATCCCTCCTAGATCAGTTTATGGACACCACTACAGTGAGAAACTGAATTGTAAAACTAAAAAAAGAAGAATAAATTCAAAAGAAAGTGAACGAAAAGTGGAGAAATTCAACATTATTAAAGCGCTTATATCGTTGGAAAGGGTAAACACTCTGATGAAATGTATAAGGAATACGTTTTTTTCCTTCCATTTTGCTATATCTGCCATCTCTTAAATAAGGACGATAGCTGTTTCTTTCCCCACAAGGGCGCCTCTGTCTCTTTTTCATTGCACCGAAGTGTAGACGTTTTCTCCTTCAAAGCCCAGTGTGGGCTGTTTTTGAAGTACCCCTCGGAGTGCAAGCCATCTTTAGTGCGTCATTCCGATCTTTCACTCTTTTTCTTTCTCTTTTTCTCTTTCGGTGTGTGGATGTCAATACAGCAACAGCGCATAGTGTAACAGACGCAATTGGTTCGAGCACAGGGAAACATCCCCCTGTAAGGACCCCGATTTCACTGGGGGTTGTCAACCTTGAAGGCCACCCCCTTCCTCCCCCCCCCCTTTATGGCATCCCCAAGGCCTGCCGTGCCTTCACTAGAGGAGTTTGAGGGTCCTGTGCGGGAATTACTTCGGGGACGCAAAGACAAGGTATCCGAGGAGGAGCTGGCGCTTTTGGCGAACACCCCTGGAGAGGTCCTTTCGCGCATCCAAGACCAAATCGCAACTAGCAGTGATAAGGAGGTGGTCTGGCAGTCGCTTCTACGCGATTGCAAGGCGCAGGCCCCCCTTCCTGAGTCGGGGATGCCCCAATCGAGGGAAACGCGGCGGAAAAGCCCCCGAAATAACCCCGAAGTGGAGTCGGAGGGCGTTCCGAAAGATGAGAGGTCCCCTTCCGAGGGGCTTAAAGGGGAAGGGGTCGTCGAGGAGGACGTGGCACGCCATCCACTCGCCTGTGCGGACCATTCGGAGGAAAGGGAATGGGACGATTTCCCTATTAGTCAGGGCGGCTTCACAAAAAAGGGGGAAAAGAAAAGAAATGACATAATAGAAGACGCCGAGGAGGCGATCGCGCAGCAGACGGTCGCGCGGACGCTGCACGCAGCGCCGCAAATGAACCCTGGATTGTTGACCCGAACCTACACCCCGCGATGCCCACGGTGCGGGCTGCGGTTCGGCCACCCCCCGCCGCTGTGGGAGTGCCCGATGTGCCTGCGGGGAGAAGGGCGGCGGGTGTTGGTTTGGCAGCCCGACCACGACGCGACGCGGTGCGGGATTTGTCAGGCGGGGATTGGGCGATGGTCGCGGCATCACTGCCGAAGCTGCGGGCGGCTGATCTGCGGCCACTGCTGCCCGGCGCGGGCGTGGATCATGGGGTTGGGGTATGAATATCCGGTGAAGGTCTGCACCGAGTGCGCGAACCACGCCCTCTCAACGAGAAATAGCACTTCTAAAGGAAATCCAAACAAGAATGAGGATTAACTAGAAAAAAAAAGAGGGGAATGGGGGCGGGTGGGATGAAATGGACTATGACTCATCTTGTACCCTTTATCCTACAACAAAAGGGTAGATACAAATATTTTTCAATTTGAAGGGTTCTGCGGGTTTACTCTGTTTTTATTATGTAGTTAGTTTCTTTGCTTTTGAAATGATTAGTAAAAGAAAAAGAAGCACACACACAGCACAGGAAAAAAACTGAAAGCATGTGTCTGTCTCCATTGTTCTGCTTATGTTTTTATCCATCTTTCCCTCCATCTGTATGGTATGATGATTTTTATTTTTATCTTATATTTAAATCAAATTCTGAGAATTTGATCACATTGTCACTTTTTTGCATCTCGAAGAATACTGAAGAGAACTGACAAAGAAACAGTTGATCAGAAACAAAAAATATAGAGACCCATTCATTCACATTTGATAACTCTTTCCGTTTATTTTTTTCTCTTATCTGAACAAATTTTATATTTCATCCTGTTGATATCTTTTTTCTTTTTTATATTCTATCAATTACATGGGTTGAGAGAAGAAGTCCCAAAAAAGGTTATTTTTAACACCAAATGGATCAATTTGCCATCACCGTTAGTTCATTTGTGCATAACTTGGAGAATCTGCGTTTGCCCGTGATTCCCTATAACACTTATGTGAAGACGGTTTGTATCGGCATCCCAATAGCGGTTTTCCTGCACGACACCTCCAAATATTGGATTCCAAAGTCCTTTAACCTCCCCATCATCACCTGGTTCCGCCGACGCTGGCTACAAGAACCCGATGTAAAGCTCACGCATCTCCGAATCATTCGTGATTTCCTTCTTTTCGCCTTTTTCATTGTTCTTCGCATGGATTCTATTGCAAATGATGAGGTACAGCCTTCGGATTATGTCGAGCAGAGGCTGATCAGCAGCACTGCGCAGCATAGCCTTAGTGAGGAGATTTACAAAGCACGCCAAAACGCCTTTAGCGCCGCGGACGAACTCCTCGGGGAGGTGGAGATGAATATGGCAGGTGTTCAACAGCAACGGGAGGCCGCCCTCCGCCGGCGATACCTCCACGACAGCCGCCTTTCAAAGTAATATATATATATATATATATAAAGGAGATATACAAGAGAACCAAAGAAACAAGAAAGTGGAATTTAATGGATTAGAGCTCTCCTGATGAGATGCGGAGTGGCTCGATACCCCCCTCCTATTTCCTTTATCCTTCATGCATTGTTTATCAGCATAGGTATGGAAAAGAATGAAAAAAGGATAAATGTTTCTCCAAACTCACCTTCAAAAAAAGGGGGGGATATTTCCCTTTCTATTTGTGTTTATGTCTCGTCTGATGGCGAAAGAGAATTTGTGGTATTTTATTCTTTAGATATGGTAGGAAAATCGCAGAAGATTTTTTTAAGTTGAATTATGCGTACGCATAAATATTAAAAAAAGGCGTGTTAAAAAGTATCGCAGATGATTTCTAAAGCTAACGGAGAAAAGCAGTAAATGGTCTGAAGATATGAAGTGCATAAAGGGATATTTTCATGCCTAATAACTGTTAGTCTAACAATGAAAATTATACTGAAAGCTAGCTCATATATGCAGAAAGAAGGGCAAAAGAGAGGCTTTCCACCATTTCTGATACTTGTAAAACATTCATTGAAATGATAATGTTAATATGAATCTTCCTTCCTTTTCATTTTCTTGAATTTTATATTTAATTATTAGATTTTTTTGGCTTCACGGATGAGGGTTTCCCCTAAATTAAGAAAATAAAATATCATTACTGTATAAGAATAGGTCATGAATATAACTGCGTTTCGTTCTGAATTTTCCATGTGGGCCGAAAAGAATGGACAAAAATCTCAATAGACACCATAGTTCTAACAGCTACTTATCTCTGTATTTATTTACGTATTCACCTTTAGGATAGGGTGAAATCGCAGTTCGTCAAAAATTACACCAGAGTGGAAGATTGGGTAAATAGTCATGCAGAATGCTATTCCATATTCGGTACATATCATTATTAGTCGTGGAGATTATTGAGCTCACATAGACTGAGCTATCAATAAAATTATTCTGTCGTTGATTTATTAATTACCATGGATCCTTTCGATTTTTTATTCAACTCGCAAATACTACAAATCCTATTTTCCCCCCTTTAGAGTAATGTTATAGAAAGGGTTTGACCTAACACAGAAGCATAGTAAAAATAAATAGCTTAGGGATAAAGATAATAATGACAAAACTAATCTCGATTTTTATTGTAGTTCTTTTCAGTAATCTTTTATGTTTATTTCTCGGCGATAATTTAACGGCTTTGGCTGCTGACGAATTATTTTTGGGGACCCTGCATGCCGCTAATCTGTACATTTCCCAACCCACTCATAGCAACCTAACAACCAATCCAACACCTCTGAACGGTAAAAACCAGTTGATAACTTCAAATTGCTCCTTCTTTGATGTCGATCCCGAACTCTTGCGATCTCTAAACAGCTTTAAAAGCGAAGAGGACAAAGCAAACGCGCCGAGCCCGGATTCGACGGCAATACGAGAAGCGACGAAATTGGTGAAACTTTTCCATATTCTCCTGCCCGGGGTCTCGAAAGAGGACTTGGACTTGTTAAATAAGTTATCGAACATCACCAACCGAGATCGACTTCATCATAAAGTCGATGAGAAGGATGACGATACCATCTCCGACGAAGATTGGATGGACTTCCACAAAAGCGTTATTCTCTCAGGGCTGGTTCACGCGGGCCCTTTTGTGGGTGAAAACGCGCGCGGGGATTCCTCCGCGGCCCCGACCAGGCGCGGACCCCCTGAGGGGGAACTCAACGCGCCTTTGGTGATTTCCTTTTTTGCGGGGGAAAACACCGGCAAACTCTGCTTTGATCTCAGCCTACACGACGCCATGGCGAATGTAAGCGATCTCCGCAGCGCCCTTACGGTGGTGTCCTCTCCGCACTGCACGACGCGCGTGGATGAGCTTGTGGAAAAGGAACTTGCAATGGACCAGCCCGAGATTTCTTTTTATGATCTTTCGAATGGCTCCCCCGAAGACCACAACGTCGAGGAGGATCCGGCGGAGTCATCGTGGTTAAAGGCCTGCGAGCTGTCCTCGGTGGTGCGTTTTGATCATCGCTTTACGCTCTCCACCGCGTTGGCTGGGGAAAAACTCCTTTGCAAGTATATGGACGAACCGGAGGGGTCGGGTCAGGTATCGCCCTCCCTGGAAGGCCAGCGGCGTGCGATTTATTGTTCTTTTAAGGTTGCTGTGCGATTTCGCCCTTTCATGAAGCATTTATCACTGAAAGAAAAGACCCAAGCCGTGCTTAAAATTGCCGCGGTTGTGACCATGCCCCCCGCCGAGGCAGAAACTGACGATCAGAGCGGCCTTTTCTTTACGCATCTCATCCAACCAGAGGGAGGGGCTTCAACTCAAAGATCAACGCTTCCAAGAGAATCCCAAAAGACGCATCTTTACAATTTGAATCGCTTTTCAGTCCTTTCGGAAGGAGAAGAAAAAGAAGCTTCGTTAGTGCAGCGCTGCAGTGATGTTTCGCTTTCCGATCAATTTTGGAATCTTTCAGGCCCATCCTGCACGCCCTCTTTGGGGGTAAACTACAGAAGCGTGATAAGATATTACGTGAACGACAATCTAGACAAAATACAGCTCTGTGTGGTTTTTCTCTTCATTTTTTGGCTAACCGTCGTCAGTGTTATAGGTACGCGTTTCTTTTTTGATAAATGTCGAAAAAATCGCTTGCCCCTATAGCTACAACAGCAGTGAAAAGAAAAAAAATTAGCCAGACAGCAATCGCGAAGAAATGGGTGTATTATATTTGTCTTTCAAAGTTACTGGTGATTTATATTATTCTTCTTTTCTGGATGTATTGTACAATTTTATAACTATAGTTGAACTTTAAAGACAATGCAGGTTTTTTACTCTCCTTTGGGGGAATAGTATATATTCAGATCTTCTATAAAGGATTACTGAATTAATTATCGAATTTTTCGTCGACTTCACAAGATCGAAGTAGTACGATAATGATAACTATGAAATAGATAAATCTGAAATCAAAGGACTTTTTGGTAAAATACAAATGCCTATCGGAAATGTTCTTATTTTGACAACTCTCAAAGCTAATTCAGTCATTCTGATATTCATTTTTATATGTATCCTTGGAACAATGCTTTAGACATTGAAGGGGTATACTTTTCTATACTTTCAACAATAACACAAAATAAAATTGAAAGTAATATAGAACGGGTAGTTATCACACTCAATAAGAAAGGTTTAAATAAGCCTTTGACATTTTTTGATACCTGATGGCTTTGTTTTCTGATTGGAAGAAGCTCTCTACTATCGCAAATGATTCTTTGAGAGTTGTAAAGCAACTTATGATCACTGTGGGACTGATTATTTTCTCAATAGTCTTTGCCGTTTTTGTCGTGGTTTGCACTCCCCTTGTTGTTAGCGTTTTTAGTGACTTTGCCCCAGACCTTTGGAATAGGGGGACGCCAGTATTCAAAATTTTACTTCAAAATGAAACCCTCTCCGTGCTAAACCTGTCAAATATGGCTTTCATCGCCGTATTTATTGTTCTCATTTCAACATTGGTGATTCTTGACAGATTACTCATTGAGATAAAAGATATGCTACGGAAGAAATCGAAGGCCCCTGCACAACATGTTATAAATTATTACAACCCCATGGATGCAAAAGATGCAGCGAGAATCATTACGTCGAAAAAGCGTCGAAAGTTGTAGTCTCGTTATAATCACAAGGGATAGGCAAAAAAGTGATACGTGAAGCAAAAGAGGAGAATTGTCAAGCTTGCCTGTGCTTCTACACAAATGTCCCTTCATGTTTAAGTTTAAACAGTAGACAGAGAAATATTATTGGAGAAATATATGCACTCTATGACGATCTATCATCTGTTCTGAATATTGTAAAAGGGATTATCCCTAATTCAAGTTACCCATAGTATTGGAGAAAGTCTGTGTTGTTTGCATTCTATGTGATTGTACTTATTTCCTCACATTAGACCTTTTGGAATGTATATGACCGTGCAACTCTTCCGTCCACCCCCCTTTCCTCAAAACCCCCTCAAATGCTATCATCTCTGTTATCCCTTGTCATTTTAAAAGATACATCTATACCGCTTTTGACAAATAATTATTAAACGGCGATTGATGCGCTATTCGTGTGTGCTACGGAAGGCGTGCTTTTCGAACGCCATTGTCCGTCGACGGCGGTTTATCCCGCCCTGGGAGCGGGCCAATGAGCCCACCGAAGTCTTCTTCGCCGGACTTCGGCGCGGCCCCCACCCCGAACGGCGTGCGGCAGCCCCCGAGGAAGCCCCTGACCTGTCCACACCCGAGGAGGACCGCCGTCGCCAGGCGATCGCCGCCGTCGCCTCGCAGGCCCTCGAGGCCAAGCGCGAGTTCCTCCCCTACGGCGCGAGCCCACGGAAGTACTTCCCCACCGATCACATGGCGGCCTGGGGGGAGTACCAGGCCAGCCTCAGTGGCCTTCCTGTTACAGACCCTTCAGTGATAAACCCCTCAGTGACAGACCCCCCCCCCCCCTCCTGTGACTACTCCGCAGAGACGCAGGCCCTGCTTGCGGCGGACCTGACCTGCCCCGTGCCGTACCGTTACACGGCGTACGTCCCCCCCCCTCCGTCTGGGGTGCCCAAGACTTGGCCCCTGCACGGCACCGCCGGGATCGTCTTCGACATCGACGGGGTGATTCGCCGCGGGGAGTGGGTGATCCCGGGCACCGACGACGCCATCCGGACCTTGCATACCCTTCGCATCCCGTTTGTCTTTCTCACCAACGGCGGCGCCTTCAGTGAGGCC